ATAATTTTCAGGAGCAAACAAACAGGACAAAAAAAGAAAGAAAAAACAAGGCTTTTATTGTTAGAATAATTCTGACTCAAGTTGAAAGACTTTTTGAATAAACAGAGTCTAATCTAATTGTGATAATAGTGAATTTAACAGGAAGACCAAATGGAAATGCTTTTTGGAAATAATAGCTAGAGCTCTCTTCTAGTAAAAAAAAAGATTGATGTTTCTGCACAAACACACATACGAGTTTTGAAAGATCTTCCCAGAGTTATCAAACTAGAGATTGGTTTGTTTAAGGTAGAATCTGAAAAGAGTGTTGGAAGTTGGTTCACAATGATCTCATCGCCATTCTCCAAGCAGAAATGCACTTCCTAAGCAGCTGGGGAAAGTACACAAAAATGCAGTCGGGTGTTGCGATGACACACGAAACACATTGAAATGATCTTTAATTTTTCATTTTTTAATTAACATTTGTCATTTTTATGTAGGGTTTAGTTTTATCTAAAAATAGTATTGTATTATTATCTTATCTGACAATTTATACTAAAATGTGCTTTATATTTGTATTTTTATAAATTTACATTTTTGTGTTGTAGCATTTCTAAATTTTTGTATTTAAAATGTATTAAATATTTGGTTTCACTAGTTTGTATTTTAATGAATTCTTAACACTTTTATTTAAAGTATTAGTATTAATATGCAAAGTAAACACATTCATTTTTCTCCATTACTCTTTGAGATGTTTAAGTAATATTTCAGGATTAGAGGGCTTAGTCAAATAAAGAAGAGTTGTGGGAAGAATATTCTAGGTCGGAAGGGGCAGAGTGAGTTTGAACAACTGAGGGAAGCTCCGTATACGCAGTCCTCAGAGGGAAGAAGGATGATGGATAGGTCTCAGTTGAAACTGGAGTGATGGGCAGGTGACAGGTTGTGAGGGCCTTTGGGAAGCCGTGGAAAGTACACAAGGACCCTTGAGAAACCCGAGGAAGGATTTTAAACTTTAATAGTGATGGTCAGGTTTGCATTCTAGAAGGGTCCCCTGGCTGCTGCATAAACGAATTGGACAAAAGCTCACCATTTAAAAGACTTACAAACGTCCAGGCAAATGATGATGTGGGGGAGTCAGTGGCTCTCGGGTGGAGAAAAAGGAGATAGGTGTGGGAGATATTTAGGAACTGCAGTTCCCAGTATGACGGTGGATCTGGCGTGAGCAGCTAGGTGAATGTGCTATCAGTGGGTAGAAATCGGACTGCAGGGAGAGTTTAGAGTTTCATAGGTTTGGTGGAAGGTGAAGGGTTCACTTTTGCAGATGCCTGTGGGACAAACAGTAGAGTCCCCCCACTAGGTAAACGTAAAGATCAGTAGCTTAGAGAGGTCTGGGGTGGGCATGTAGACTTTCGAGAGTCATCAACATCAAGATGGCAGCTGAAATTCTGAGAGTGCATGGAATATCCAGGATGGGAAGAGGCAGGGAAATGGAGTAATAAGAGTGGTAGAAGGAAAAATCATGAGAGGATGCTGTCACAGAAGCCAGAAAGAGAGTTTCTAGAAAAAAATGAAATGATCAGCTGTGCTGGATATTAGGGAGAGTTTGAGCAAGAGAAGGACCAACATAGGTACTTGTTTTTAACCTCAAGGTTATCGTTGGTTACTGCACTGGAGGTCAGATTCCAGTAATTCTAAGGTAAGGAGCTAGGCAGCCCTTTCCAGAATTTTCCAATGGAAGAAGAGGAGTTGTCCTGAAGTGGGGTGAGGAGTTCAGGGTGTGCTATATTTACAGGTGAAGGAGACTTGAGCTTAGATGATGATGGGAATGAGCGAGTAGAGAAAGCTGTCATGGCATCAGAGTCCCTGGGAAGGTGGACAGCGTGGAGGCCACAGTTTAGGGTGAGATTGAGTTTTGGATTGTAAAGAAAAGGAAGCAAAAGCCTGGATCCAAGGTAAGTTTGTATGTATGAAGGAAGATGACATTTGCTTCTGAACTGGCTTCTTTATTTTCTCTGTGACTGAGACAGCATTATCATTTGCTGAGATTGAGGAGAAAGCAGGTGGGGGAGGTTGCAGGAGAATAGGGGATGTTTGAAATATCTGCTCCGGAGAAGGGGAGCTGACCAGAGGAGCTTGGGGATGAGATGAGATTGTCGAAGATGAATCGACAGTGGCCCAGTGTACAAGCTTGTGAGTTTCCCCAGCAGCAGAGAACAGCCGTCACACCTGCGCTTCCCGAGGTGTTCTGGGTAGGATGGAGGAGTTTCTAGAGAGTCGGATTTCCGTTGAGTCCCTTACATGCCAGGAGCAGAATATAATGAACGCATCTCACACTCACCTTTGACCCCTCCACTGTTGTTCTGTGCTGCAGTATTAAATTATTCTTGGAAGTTATTGAAGTGCGTTAACTCTTGCTCCTTCAGTAGATGGCCCCAGGCCCAGACTGCTGTCTTGTTTTTCTTTAAGTTCTTGTCTGCTTTTTTATACTATTTCTGTCTCCTCCCTTTGTTTTCTTCCTTGTTGTCAGTTGTTCTATCACATTGCTGTCTGCATGCAAGTCTGTATCAGCCCGCACTGTGGACTTTGTCAGCATCTGGAGTTGTCACACCTCTGAAATCAAGCTGTGGGCTTGAAGACCAGACAACCAAGCTTATTAAAATTATGTGCAAAGTAAGAGTAAATCACCTCTGAGTGTGATTCTCACGTGCTGTGCTTTGAGGGTGGACATAAGTGTTTGTACATAAATTTTGTGACATTTATTGGGTTGTTTCTCAGTTGTCCATATATGAGATGCTTGTTGCCTGTTATCTCATGTACTTTTTTGAATCTCCATGGATTACGATAATCTTAGAGAACACTCAGTATTTATGACTATATCATTTATAGTTTTTTAATACTTCCAAAGTATTTTCATATGTATTACCTAAATTTTAAAACTACAGATTAGATATTTTATCCTGTCATTTCTTATTATTCTCATGGATTTTCAAATACTTACATATTTTGTATGGGAATAACATGTATTTTCAAATGTTTGTGCATTTTCGTATGAGACTAACAAACCATGTCACATCTCGGTCATTTAGTCATATCACATGTAAATGAAATGGGACAATGTAAAGTATTTTGGAAGTTTGAAAAATACATTATTCTAGCTTTTCATATATTTCTATATTTTATGGACTTCCTCATCTGTGAACATCTCATGTATCAATAATTTTAATTTTTTAAAGAGTATATATATGTACATACACACACTCAGGCACACAGTAAATATCACTTTTAAAAGTTTTCTGTAATTTAATTTGGATCCTGACCTTTGTTCTTCTCAGGAGGAAGGCAGAGTCAACACCCTTCATCAGGAGGCTGTCCCCCAACTCCCAAGGTTGCACTGAGGTTTGGGGTCTTGAAGAGAGTTCCCTGAATCATAATACCTGGCCACACAGTTTACCTAGGAGAGGCCTGTCCTGCTGTCCCGGGCCAGGCCGCGTATGCCCTCCGGGTTCAGTGGTTTCATGGGATGATGCCTTTTGTGCTCATTCCATGGAAACAGCTGCTGGCGAGGCCCAGAGCTCTGGCACGGGGCTTCTTGCCCCCCGGGGGCGCACAGCTGTTTCCTCTGAACCCATTTCCTCAGGCTCCCTTGGCTCCCTTGGAGCAGGGGGTGCTCAGTGACGTACAGACCTTTCTTCTCGCTCCAACCCAGGAAAATCTTTTTTTATTTTTTTATTTATTGATTTTCAGAGAGAGGAAGGAGGGGAGAGTGGGGTGGAATGAAAGAGAATGAACAAGAATGAGAACATGAGAGCACAAGCAATTGGTTTGTTCCACTTACTTATACATTCATTGGTTGCTGCTTGTATGGGTCGTGAGGACTGAACCTGCAACCGTGGTGTAGTGGGACAACACTCTGAGTCACAGGTGGCAAACACAAGGCCCGTGGGCCGAATCTGGCCCTCCACCGTGTTTTATCCGGCCCAGCACCTTGTGTCTACCCGGCGGCAGCACCGACCTCCTTGCCCCGAGTTCAGAAGTAGTTACATTTATACAGTCCTAAACTTACATTCGGCCCTTTGCAGGCAACCTCGAGGCTGATGTGGCCCCCAGTAAAAATGAGTGACTCCCCTGCTCTGAATGACTGAGCACCCAGCCAGGGCTCAGAGAAATCTTAATTGGGGGAAATGCCTCTCTCTTTAAATTCTGTTTTCATTAGATTTAAGGGGGGTTTTGTTTGTTTGTTTTTCAGGAAAAGCTAAAAAGCCCTCATGGAAACTTTCCCTTAGGCAGGGAAGAGCGCACAGTGTAGCCCAGGGGTGATAAACTAATTTTCACTTGGTGCCACATCAGCCTAGAGGTTGACTTCAAATGTAATGTCAACTCCTTAACAGTTAAGGAGTAATTACATTTACACAGTTCTAAAATTATTTTGGCTCTTTGAAGGCAACCTCAAGGCTGATGTGGCCCCGGTGAAAATGAGTTTGACACCTCTGGGTGTGGGTAAATAGGCTACAAAGTAGCCTATTTAAATGGTAGGATATAGGGAGACAACACGATTTTTTAAAAAAGTAGTCATGTGCCCTGGCTGGTGTGTGTCAGTGGATTGAGCACTGGCCTGTGAACCAAAAGGGTCACCCGTTCGATTCCCAGTCAGGACACATACCTGGGTTGCAGGCCAGGTCCTCAGTAGGGGGCGCATGAGAGGCAACTATACATTGATGTTTCTCTGCCTCTTTTTCTCCTTCCCTTCCCCTGTCTAAAAATAAATAAAATCTTAAAAAAATAAAATAAAAAAAAACAATAATGTAGTAAGTTGTAGAGTGATAAAAATACCCAACAAACTACCTCTCTTCAGTGTTACCTGCTCTGAAACTACACCTATGTAGTCAAGTCCTTGTTTTTATAACACATTGAAGAATATTACTATTTGTTAAATGTGTTTGCATTTTATTGATATAATGTCTGAATGATCCAAACATCAGGCAGTTAGTAACATTTTAATTTTGTTTTGTCTTATTCTACTTAAGAACACTGGAACTATTTTGGGGCCGATGAGAATCTTGGCCCAGTGGCTGTGAGCATACGAAGGGAAAAACCAGAAGAAATGAAAGAAAATGGATCTCCTTACAACTACCGAATAATATTTCGGACTAGTGAGGTAAGTTGCACAGGAGGGAGGTGAGGCTTCATGGAAGAGAGAAGAGTATACTCACAGCAGGAGCAGAGCAGTTAAATTTAATATCGCATGGTTACAAATGTCTTTAGAGGAAACAAGGTCCCCTTTCATTCATTCCAGCGGTGATAGGAATGGATATAATGGTTAGATCTGGATCGTTTTCTTTCCACTTATCTCTGGGTAGATGCAATACATGAATGGGAGTTTTGATTCTGAGAAAGCTATGTCCATTAAGAGTGGTGCGAGGAAATTGGAGCCCTCAGAATCCCAAATGGGATATTGCCTATCCTGCCCAGGAAGCTGGAAACACTGAGCCAGTTGAGGAGCGAGGGTACTTAACCTATGAGGGTCACCCAGGACCTAACTCACTCTGACAAACTGTTGTTTCGGACATTTCTTGACCCAAGGAAGAGGGGAAAAGATTTTTCTTTTTCCATGTTCACTGCACTATCTCAGGACCTCTTCTCTGGTGCCCAGAACATGGGTTCTCGGAACCACAGGCTGCCCAGTGCGGGCGAGACAGGCCCTGGGAGCAATTTGGGGTGCTAAGAGCACAGAGTACATGAATTTTAATTTTAAAATGAAATCCAGGTTTAAAAGGGGGGGATAAAATACAAATAAACCATTTCTTAAACACTGAAGAACAAGTTTTGGATTGTGAAGTTACTGTTTTCTCTCTCAAATGTGCATTTGTGCCAGTTACCCATTTATTGCCGCTGAGCACTTCAGGATGGCTGTTGCACACTAATGCCTAATACCCCCTTGAGGTAGCTAGAAAATAATAGTTTTGAAACCAGTTTAAATTGGGCAGTTGGCTTTGTTTCCCCCATTGAGTTTCAGGGTTTGGCCTCACTTAGTCATTGCTCCTAAGCTTGAGCTCCGGGGAAATTAAACGTAAGACTTTTAAAGGCATGACTTTAATATCTGATGTGTTCTATGTAGTGGCCAGAGTGAAACGAAGAACTAACATGCTCCAGTGTGCTTTTTCTCTGCTCCAGAGCTAATTGTTAAGCAGCGTAAATTCTTTTGTTGAACATGAAAAACACAGAGAACGCACTGTGTTTCTGAAGCTGCATATAGGCAGTTGGTCGTTTCTAGCCTCTCAGATCCCACCAGGTTTCTTTTTTAAACTGTTTATGCTATTACAGGTGTCCCATTTTTTTTTTGCCCAGTTGCCCCCCTCTACCCAGCCTGCCCCCCACCTCCATGGTCAGCCCCTGCACAGAGCCCAGCAGATTTCTCTGAGCCTCAGTCACCTTCTCCCAAGTGTTTTTTTCCTCCCTGTTCGTATCTTTTTCTCCTCCCAAGGCCACTCTGATTGAAGCCACCTCCCACAACCTTCCTTTTATGTGTTTTTAATCCATTTAAATCCCTCCTCTTGCCGCTGTTCTAGGGCCCTTTGTGCCAGAAGTTGACTGTTTTCTAAACCAGCATTTTCTTGGTGGTCGATTGCCCCCTTCAGCGGCCCTTGCTGGCACCGCACAGCCGTCCCCGCCTCTCTCTCCAAGATGACTACCTGCAGCGGTGGGTGGGTGAACCACGCCCACTCCTGCCTCCCCCACCCCCAGCTCCCTCCTTTCATCTCTCTTGACCTCGGCCTGAAACGCGCCACCTGCCCCTCCCTCTGGCTCTCTGGTCTTGGCCTCAGCCCTTTCCCTGCTAACCCATTAGAGTGAATTAGGTCCCTTGGGTCCAGTTCCTTAGCCTTTGATTGAAACATCCAAGTCAAATGTTGTTCATGGTTCAAAAAACCATTACCACTTGTTTTCATGTTCAAATTAATGTTTAACTGATGACAACTTTATTATTCTAGTTCAGGCCAGAAACCATGAAGCCACACTTGACTCTTCTCTCTTCCTCCATCCATTCCCCCCACCCCAAATCTTCTCCTTCCTCTTGAACCCCCAAGTATAAGCAGCATTTGTTGACTTTGTCTTCAAAATATGCCCCGAATTCAACCACTTCTTCCATCCCACTGCCTGGGTCTGGGCCAGGGCCAAGCCACCAGCATCTCTCCCTGAGAACTGTTTCTGCTTCAGCCTTTAGACCCTGCATTCTTTCAGCCCAGTAGGGATCCTTTGGAAATGCAATCCAGATCTTGTCATTCCTCAGTTCAGAATCCTGTAATGGTTTCTCATCTCCCTCTGAGTAAGAGCCAGTCTCCTTGGTGGCCTAGGAGACCACGCACATCTGCAAGGGAACTCATGTCCTGTTCCCCCTCATTAGTCTTTCCCAGCCACACTGGCCTCCTTTCCCCCGTGGCAACCTCCGGACACCTCTGTGTCAGGCCTTGGATGCTCCCCGTTCCTCCGGGGCGTCATGCTCTTCCCCAGGCGTCCTCTTGGCCAGAGCGCTCTCATTTCCTTCTGGCCTTGACTCATAAATCACAGGGGTCTTCATCTAAAATTTCTACTCCCTCATACCCCACTTCGTATCCAGTTCCAGGCTTTATTTTTTCATGAATACTTGACACTGTCTCACATATTTTACTTATCTTTTGTTATTGTTCTTTTTCTGTCTCTGCCACCAGAGTAAAACTCAGTGAGGATGGGACTCTTACGAGTTGTTCATTACTATGAGCCTAATGCGCACGATACCAGTAGTACTGTCCCTTCCTTCATTCCCCTCTCTGTTCAGTTCATTGCCACTGGCTTTCGTATATTTTTTTCCTTTCCAATGAAAATCATCCTTAATGTGGATTAATTATGATATTTTTATGAGGCTTTCATAGAAGCTAAGGAAAGTCTTTTGATGGAGACTCTCTAGGTGTCCGTTAGCTCCTGGACTTGGTGGGGCAGGTGTGTGTGATAAAGTCAGACGGTCTCCATGCGTCTGCAGGGGCGGCTCGTGCCGTGCATTTCTCCTGTTAGCAGACACGTCGTGAAGAGAGAGTGTGGCCGCCTCAGTGCCGCTCCAGTAAATGGCATTCAGATAACAGATACAAGCAAATGTCTTTTGTTTCAATAGAAATATTCATTTTATAACAAATTTTTTAAAAACTCACATGTCTTTATAAGCATGACAGTGTGTTTATGAATAAAATCTTATGACATGTGCATGCTTTTAAGCATAGGTACACAGAAACATACAAGGATTCTCTCCTTTCTGGAAATCATTAACAAAAATATTGGTTATACTAGTGATGATTCAGACATAAAACCAGCCACCGTCTTTCTCATCGACTTTGGCTTTCTGGAGGGGAGCTGCTGTCCTTCCGTGGCACAGAATTAGCAACGACTAGCATGTCTGGTCCTGGTTTCTCCACCGAAAATACTTCCAGCCCTTGTAGTTTCTTGTCCCCAGTCACATGCTCAGTAGTTTCCCATGATTCAGAAAACAAAGCAAAACTATTTATGTCCTATTAGACATTGAGTCATGGGGAAATGATGTTTTTTACACCATTCGTTGTTTCAAACAACAAACAGGTATTGTTTGAAAACTTTTTAAATTAAAGAAACAATGTTAATCTGATTAATAGACTGCTAATTCTTCAAGTGCCCTTCTCGTGTGTTGGGAGTAAGGTATCGGTGAATTTTACTTTCCCTCCCCTCATCTCTCTTCTCCATCAGCTGACAAATGTTACAGGTTTTACTTTCCGGGTGGTTCTCCCTTTGGTTTCTATTTTTCCTCCTGGTCCTGTATCTTGCCCTCTTGGCTTATTACTTGGACACTGTTGGAACTTCCTTCTAACAATTTCTCTGCCTGCAGTTTCTTCCTTCTTGCAGTTCATGTTATTTGCCAACTCGGTTTCTTTAAGGCATACGTCATTGTCATCATCCCAGTTCAAATGAGTTCTGAGATTGCCCTTTGAAGCCAGATGAGGTGCACACCCCCGAGCTGGCATCAGGGTCTCCAGCTTTGGGGTTCCCCCCACGCCCACCCCTCCCTTGTGCTCTCTTCAGGTGAAGCTAAGCCCTAGCACGCACTCTTTCCCACTTGCAGCCTGTTCTTCCTCATCTCCACACCGTTGCGCTCTGACTTTTATTTTTGAGATTTTATTTATTCATTTTTAGAGAGAGGGGAAGGGAGGGGGAAAGAGAGGGAGAGAAACATGAATGTGTGGTTTCCTCTCACATGCCCTCTACTGGGGACCTGGCCTAAAACTTAGACATGTGCCCTGACTGGGAAACGAACCAGTGACTCTTTGGTTCGCAGGCCAGCAATCAATCCACTGAGCCACATCAGCCAGGGCTGACTTTTTTCTTTTTTCTTTTTGTAGAATTTTTTCTAGATTTCATGGCCCACAGCCCTTCCATGAAGGCCTTTCCTTATGCCCTAAATCCCAGATCTCCATGTTCTGCCCTTGGACATTCTTCAGACTTGAACTTGTCACTTTTCTTAGTAAATATATCCTTCCCGAGTTGCAGCTGTGCATTTGTTGCCTCTCATGCCATGGCACAGCATACCCATCCACTCCTCCCCTGATGGTGCCACTGCAGCTCCTGCGGCAGAACAGCACCGCAGCCTGCGGGCTTCTTCAGCATGCTGGTGTTTCCTTAGGTCAGCACACAGTGTTCTGAGTATAGTAGCAACTTTGTCGTGTGGACATTTTTGGAGATCAAGACAACTTTACGCTTCATGTCTGGTTAACTTTGCCCCAAGAAATCGTTACATAGGGAAGTTTCTTTGCTTATGTTTATATTTCATAATAATGGAAGATGTTTCCAGAAGTAAGGGAAAACTTAATTTTAGTGCTGTCGAGTTTGCTGACAAACTATGACCATTGTCCTATTGTAGAAGCATTTGGGAATATGAGTAGTTTGTGCTTGCCAGCAGTATATGAGGAAATTTAAAAATGTATCCCTCCCCTTACCTTTTATTATTCAAAAAGATTTTCTAAGCATTTATTCTTCAGATATTTCTCCGGAATACTCCCTTCTTAATTTCCTGGTTAGTGTACTTAGTGGCATTTTGTAACCATATAGAATTCTTGATCTTACTGAGCTCCTTAAAGAAATACTATATTTGCCTTTAAGTAAGTGTCCTTAGAAGGCTTGATTATGAGTTCCTTTGGACTTGCCTTGGTCTTCTTCAAAGTGTTGGCCTTGTTTTTTCATATATAGAGTATCTTATATCACTTCCCTCATCCTTTTTCCTGCTCTGGCTCGCCCAATCAGAAGTCGTTTCCAGAGAACTGAGGAGGATCGCAGTCAAGGCTTTCAATGCATTTGGTTGATGTACGGTAGTTCACCCTTATCGATGGTTTCGCTTTCCACGGTTTTAGTCACCCACAGTCAATCTCAGTCCAAAAAAATTAAATATCCCCACCTGTCGACATTGTCTGCCCCTGACATCCAACCATCAGCATCCAGGATGACCCAAAGCAGACGGTCCTCCGTGTGACCTCTTATCAGACACCCAACGTGATGTCACAATGCTTATGTCATTCTCCTCGCTTTATCTCATCACGTAGGCATTTTATCATTTCATATCACACAAGAAGGGTGAGCACAGTGCAGTAAGATAATTTGAAAGTGAGACCATGTTCACTTAACTTTTATTATAGTATGTTATGATAATCATTCTATTTAATAATTATTATTATCTCTAACTGTGCCTAATTTATGAATTAAACTTTTATCGTGGGTGTGAATGTATAGGGATAAACAGTGTGTATGGGGTTCGGTGCTATCTGCAGTTTCAGGCATCCACTGGGGGGTCCTGGAGCATCCCCTCATGGTTAAGGGGGGCCACTAGATTCTCTCCTCACCAGAATATGTCTCTCTCTCAGCTCATGACACTCAGAGGTTCGGTCCTGGAGGATGCCGTTCCCTCAACGGCGAAGCACTCGACAGCCAGAGGGCTGCCCCTGAAAGAAGTGCTGGAGCACGTGGTTCCCGAGCTCAACGTCCAGTGCCTGCGCCTGGCCTTCAACACTCCCAAGGTCACAGAGCAGCTCATGAAACTGGACGAACAAGGCGTAAGTGCGCCTCCCAGAGCACATTCTCAGTGCCCAGGTTTTCTGCTGGGCTTCCAGAGTGTAGACCTTGGTATTTATGTTTTGACAAGGACAACTGATATCATTTACTGTGAAGGATGTTCTCTTTGTGATTACTCATTTTCTCTTTTCTTGGCTTTCTGAACATTTCTCATCTGATGAAATTCTCTATGGCAGAACTGATAGATAGGGTACTTAAACTGTGTTTAACTCTTTTGGTAATCTTCCATAAGTTATAGCAATAACAGTAAAGATAATAGCTAACACTAATGAACATATTCACCATGCTCAATTCTGAGTGCCTTAAATATGTTAAGCCATTTAATCCCCCAGCCCTAGGAGAATGGTACCATTATTGTCCACTTTGGAGACAAAGAATCTGAGGCACAGACGAATTCAGTAGCAAGTCCAACTTCACACAGTTAATAAATTCAAAGCCTGTAGTGTTAGCTGCTACAATATAGTTTCTTGAAAGCTTAAAATTTTAAAGTCCACCAATGAAATATTTAAACCAAGATTTTTAAATACAAAATTTTAAAAATGTGGGTTCTAATTGGTAACAAAATGAAAATGCTCAAGATTTTCTCACTTCCATATTTCCTATACCTTAACATGAGGGCCATTAGGTCAAGATGCAAATGCCATTTTATGAACAATTTTGATAGTATTTCCCTAATTAAAAAATTTCAATTTTATTAAAATGAATGGGAGTTCAAAAAATACCACTTTCAAGGTATATTTATTCTTTTAGTTCAGCCAATAAGAATATGTTGTAGACCAGTAGTTGGATGTAACTTTTCTAATCATTGTTCAGTGTATTCATTTCACTTGTCATAAAGCACAGGTGTCTATTTTGTATATATATTTCAAGTAGGCTGTCAGTATTCATGTTTATAACATGTAAATGTGAAGCAGTTTGTATGCTTCAGAAAACTCGTGATGCATAAACTTAACTATCTGGGAGGCTATTTTCAAGTAAATATTTTGAATATTTATTCTAACACAGGAAGAGTAGAAAAATGATGGTGAGGTTCAACTTTATGGATTCAGTCTGTTTCGTTACTATGGACTTCAAGGAAAGTAACATTTAGACATTGACAATAAAATCATACCCCGAGCGTTCTAAGTTCTACATCAGAATAGATTATTTTATATAAAGGAGGTATGTTTTGCCATTTCTTCTTGTCTCGCCCATATGAAGTAAGAAGTTGGTGCTACAACTGTGTAAATTCCGTGAGGTCCCTGGCACGGTTTACGCCCCTTGGGGCTGCAGGTGTCGGCCCGCCGGCGGGGCCGCTCCGTGGTGGCCACGCTTCGGTCTCATCGGTGCGGGAACCGTAAGGACACTGTAATGACTTTAATTTAAACCTAAATTTGTTTAATTCACAAAACTGTCCATTATTCTGCAATTATGGGCTTCTTATTCCTGGGGGGGTTCTAAAACTTACTTTTCTTCATATATTATTGATGATAATAACATGGGTCAGTTTTTTAAAATGCCTTTGTTGGAAAAAATTAAAATTTGGCAATCTAAGTGAGTCTCCCCAGTTTTATTTTGGAAATTTGACAAGGTAGTGGAGTCTAGGAATAGTAAAGCCACTATTTTATATGAGCAGCAATATATCTGGACTAAGGGGCATCCCCACTTAGCCTCTGTCTTTTCATAGCATCCAAAGCCAGGGTTATGCTGATAAAAAGCAGATACACATGCTTAGGCTTTTAGTCTGGGGAGTCATTTTTTGGGGTAGGAAATCTCAATGCCTTGGAATCATTTTGAGAAACTGATTATTTTGGCGCCTTTACAAATACAGATTTTAAAACAAATGCTTATAAGTGCAGTAGATTATGCATTTGAATTATTACAAAAATGCTTTTGGTTTCCATCTATATCATCATTCTTTAAAATGTCATGCTTTGTACATCCTTATATTTGAAGGGATTTATAGTATGATACCAAGAAATTAGACTCACCAAAAGGTAATTCTAAATCTGCTTTTAAAGCTTACTTAAATGATTCCTTTAATATCTTCTCTACTTTAAGTGGCTTACGTAATTCTGTTTGATTGCTAGATGGTGGCATTTTGCCTCTCAGCTCTTTGGTGTCTTATTTTCTCATTTTACCACTTTTAAAAGCTGAAATGAACAGAACAACAAATGAACATTTTATCTGTAAAATATGAAAGAAAGCCTTTCACAGAAATATAAAAACTGGGCTTTTATTTGACTAGACTCTGATATGTGTGTGGGAACTGAAGTTGGCGTTTCAGCCCCTGAGGTTTTAGAAGACAAAGCCACCGAGGCTTTGCGGTGGACTCCAGCTCTCACGTGCTCCCCCCTGAGAGCGTCCCCGGCCCGCACTGTGTGCGCATGTCCACTCCCACCGTCACACAGTGGGCGGTAAGAAGATGAAAGTGACCTGCCAGGGATTTCCCACAGTCACGAATTTAGAACAGGTTGTGACTCAGAAAATTTTGTTCCCATCTGGATTTAGTCTGTCCACCGTGATCCTGGATCCTCACTTGTTAGGGAATTGAGAGCATCTCTTAGGAGAGAAGCAGATTACATGAGTGACTTGTTTACCTGTTGTTACACTGTTCTGAGCCCTTCAGCGGCATCACGCGATTTCCTCCTCACAGCGCCTGCGCGGTGGGTCCCAGCTGTGGGCCTCTTCCAGTTGAGAGGATTGAGACCTGGAGAATTCTCTGGTCCGTTTTCCCTTAGTAGTCCTGAATGCTGGATATAAATCTGCACACTACTCGCTTTTGTTTTTATGATTTGCAAGTTTTCATATACTTTTTCACATCTTGAATTTTTTTGACCCTCAAAACTATGCTATGAAATATCAGGAGTTTTATGATCTATTCAAGCCAACCTTAATACTATGGCCAATTCAGTAGCTTTTAAATTTGTCATTTTTCTTCATCATCTAAGAAAAAACCCTTTTTCTCATCTGTTGTGTGCAAGGGGAGTGGAAGGTGGTCTTGCCAGGCTCTGTTTCAGGTCCACACATGTAAGTGTTTAGTCCAGTGCAGGCACGTGGTGAACGCTGAAGAAGTGGCAGCTGTGACTGATAGCCATAAAATGATAACTTGTTATTAGTTAGTTTTACATGCATTAGCTTGTTTAATCTTTATGAGTGTCCTGTGAGAGAGCTGCTATTATAGGTAGTGGAATAAATTATGCTTACTTTTATGAATAAGCATAACTTTCAAATCCATAAATGCTCATTGAGTAACCACTCTTTGAAGGTTATTAAATACTGTAGAGAGTAAGTAGGCTGGTAATCACAGTTCTTACCTGTGGAGGAGACAAGGCCCTAAATTACTGTAATGGAAGTCAGGTTTAATATTATGAGCACAATAAAAAAACTTGCAAACAAAGAGAATGGAAATGCAGTCCAGTGGGGCCGAGTCATGATTGGTTAGATGGATCAGGACGAGATGGCCTTTGGAAGGAAAGAGGATGTCGTCAGGCCAGAGAACAGGCAGTACCGCACTCCAGACTCAGAACAATAAGAACAAAGCACAGAGAGACAAAAGATGCAGGCTGTCCGCCCAAGCAGGAGTATGAGGCACATGTAGAGAATAGTAAAAATGGGCATTTTTTTATTGAGCAATGACTAAGGCAGGCATTATGTGAACAATTTACGTGGACTGTTTTACTACTCAGCAGCCTTTGATGTAGGTGCTATTCTTGTCCTTATTTTGCAGATGAGAGCACTGAGACACAAAGGGGCTGAAAAAACGCTCCAGATCACAGTTAGGATCTGGTGGAGGCAGGTCTCAAATCCAGGCATTCAGACTGGAGAGCCACACTTTTAACCAACAGCCTACACAGCCATCCTCCTTTTCCCTCCCTGTGAGAGGCGGAAGAAACTGGAAGGAGGCATTTATGCTTTATTGCTGCAGGCTTCAGTGCCCGATATTAAGTATAATGTTAAACCCAAGTAAAATTTATGTATAGCTTAAAAAATGTTTAAAGTACAGTTGCCATTTTGCAGTAGAGAAAATTGGTAGTCCTGTTTTTATTAGGGTATGTCAAGTTTTATGTACATGGTATTGATTTTACCTAAATGAATATCTCCACTGTTTTTCTAGATATTAAAAAATACAAAGAAATGAAAATATTTACAGAGTTCTGTATTTAAAAATTTAACCTTCAAGTTATTGAAGTTAAGGGAGAAAGTATCTAATTAGCTCTGCAATATATATCTCAAGAATAGATGTAAGGAAAAAAGCGATGTTTATTTGATAATAAATAGCACTCATCCTTTGATTAAGGACATGGGTAAAATTCTTCGCTGACTTATCCTAATTCATTGCCCTGTTGCATTATTTTATTGAGGATGAATGAATTTGGCCAGCCACCTTCCCCTTTGATTTAGGCCGCTAAATTTAAAGTATGAGCCATGGGGTAAAATGTTTTCTTAAAACCCATTTTCAATGAAGCTTTGGCAGAATAATTAGCAATCCTGAAATTTTAATCTTTTCTTAGATTATGATATCAGCGAATGCTTGTTTAAAGTTAAGATGGTTCCAGACAACTCATGGGCTCGTATGCACATTATCAGGAAGGAAATATACGTGACAGCCATCAGGACAGGGAAAGAGGGCAGTGGCATTGGCAGCCTTGTCTCGTCTCTTCACAAGTAATGATCACCCTGTACTGGCTCACCCTTGCTCTTTTCCCCGCCGAGGCTGGGCTGGGTGACTGGATGGAGTCCTTTCAGTGGTCAGATCCCATGGTCATGGTGACTGATAGCACAGCACTGGAAGTCTTTTGGCTGTGGTGGGGCTGCAGTTTGCAGTGATGGAGCTCAGCAAGGCTGAGACGTGCAGTGAGCCTTCTTTGGTTCACTATCCAAAAAGGCAGAATAATCGATTGCAGATATTTCAGTCTTCTTAACTTAAATTATGGATTGTATTTTAAATTCAGCTTTAAAAAAAGTTAAACTAGTTTTCTTTTCTACAGGACTTACCTAG